ACAAAAGAAGCTGGACATTATGCAGCCTTCCAAAACTCCTCTGTGTTAAATGGAACTGGCCAGAAGATGATTTTCTGTTTTACAAAGGTAATTGTTGTGCAATATGTAATGATTCCTATCATAGTCTTAAGTTAATTTCTGGGAAAGTTGCTATTAACTTTGTGTCAGGACAAGCTCCATCCTCCACATCACCATCTTTGCACTGCTGCTGCTTCTCTATGGCACTGCTGGGATGCTGCTCTCACTGACAGGATAACTGGAAGCAGCTGTTTTACAGCCAATGGACATGTCAAAGGTTATTACATAACTTTACATCTTCACACTGTGACAACTCCCTTGACAGTTTTGGTTTGTGCCAACATTATACAGATTCAACAAACAGCTACAGACAAGATGCAACTACAGAGACGTGTTCCTCTACCAGTGTCCAGGTTTCTTCACAACACTTCACAGCAGAAGGTCTTAGGGGCTCTATTTTTAATTCAAATTTCCCACGCCTTTAACTGTATGTGCATTCATGTATTCACTTTGCATTAACCCAGCTGATGTGATGACACTATTGTTGCTTTTGACTCTTGAGTGTTACAGCTAGGAGTAAAACATTGTAATTTACATCAGCTTCATCCTTCAAGTCTTCACTGTGATCCCTCCACAGGACTACATGGAGAGCTAAACATGTCAAAGAAGCTGGACATCATGCAGCCTTCCAAAACTTCTCTGTGTGAAATGGCACAGGACAGAAGATGGTGTCTGCACTAGTGTCTGCTAAGTGGTCGAGGTATTTTAATTATTGTGTAACATTGTGCATGTTTTGTGTCAGAGTCTTAAGCCAACTTCTATTAACTTTGTATTTCTGTATTCTCAGGACCAGCTCCATACTCTTATGTCCACAGTTCAGTGGAGTCTAACTACTGTTGGTCTTTTGGCAAGGGATCAGATGTAGGGGAAAGTGGGGTGAGTTGTGCCAGTTTTTACTCAAAGTGACTTTAAAGTGAGGCCATGACAGTAATGCCTTCAACTTAAGGATGTACATATATTTCAGGATGTGGGGCATCCCTGAGAACAATAACTTTGGATCTGAAACAAATTGTTTCAGAAATATAGCTTTTGGGGAAAAAAGTGGTCTCGTGGCACAACTTGCCCCTGGTGCGGAGTAAATTGTGCCTTTGGGGGAATACGTTGGGGTAAATTGTGCCAGTGATTTCTGGAGTAAAACAGAACATTTTAATATTGTGAACTGTAATGCTATATGAAAGCAAGACAAATTCAATACAAAATTACTCATTTAAGGTTTATTTAGATATTGTCACCCTATTAAACTGTTGGAATAAGTCATTTAGTAGTTTTTGGGAAAACACAAAACTTAAATACACAATATGATATTTGTGAATCATTTCAGACAAAAAGGCTTTGGCAATAGATGCCTGTTGACATACACAGAACGCTGTCTGTCAATTATGTAACATAAGAATAAAGTGACTAGGCTAATTTCTAAACATCCTATTGGGACTTAGGCCACTTAAATACTTAATAAAACTTCTCTTTAATAACTTGCAAACTCAAACTGAAATCAGTGTTAGCTAAATTAAACAAATGGCAGGTAGGCCTAAATCAAACACTGATGAGGCATGCCCATCTCCTCACTTCTCCAGATTATCCCCTGTGGGTATGTAGGTCTAGGTGGTCTGGATCTGGCCTTCTACTTAACATCCCACTTGTCAATGCTGCAGGGGAATATAAACTTCTGCTCCCTTCTGGCTGTACCACCAAGTTTTTGGGGTGTGGGTAATCTCTTGAGCACATCACCTCTAGGGATGACTCCTTCATCATTCTCTTTAAATGTAAAGATGTTTTTTCCATCCAC